GTGGAGATAGGGACAACACATTTGCTGTTCCTGATGCAGAGGCACTGACTGCTTGTCTGATTTTCTGAATTTTGTCAGTGAAAAAGGAGGCAAAATCATTGCACGCCCTGGTGGATAGAAATTCAGAGGCTACTGACACTGGGGGGTTAGTTAGTCTGTCGACGGTAGCAAACAAGGCACGTGCGTTGTTTTTGTTTTTGGTAATGATGTCAGAGAAGAACGATTGTCGTGCGTTTTTCAATTCCAAATTATAAAGGCCAAGTCTCTCTTTATAGATTTCAAAGTGAACCTGGAGATTTGTTTTTCGCCACCTGCGTTCAGCTTTTCGACATTCTCTTTTTTCTGTTTTCACGGTCATGGCCTTTCTCCATGGAGATATTTTCTTGCCAGACACTTCCTTTACCTTAGTTGGAGCAATGGCATCTATAACATTTTTAATTTTTGAATTAAAATGATCTACTAGCTCATTTACTGAGATGTTGGCAGGGGCAAGTGTGGAAGAGAAATTCTGAGTAAACATTTCCCTAGTATTTTCAGTTAAACATCGCTTTGTGGTTACCTCTTTTTGAACATTTTTGTGAACAGAAATAGAGCTCTCAAAGAAAACACAGGAATGGTCAGAGAGTGCAACATCAGTCACCACAACCTTAGAGATATTCAGACCCTTTGAGATAATTAAGTCCAGAGTGTGCCCCTTATTGTGCGTGGGCTCCGTCACATGCTGAGTCAGTCCATAGCTATCAAGAACACAAAACAGTTCTTTAGCCCCTCTGTCCTGGGGGTTGTCAACATGGATGTTAAAATCACCAACAATGACTAGACGGTCAAAGTCAATACACACTATAGACAGCAGTTCAGTAAAGTCATCAAAAAAGCTTGCACAGTATTTGGGTGGTCTATAGATATTTAGGAACAGAGCTCGAGAGGAGCATTTCAGCCGAAGGGCCACATATTCAAAAGAATCAAAGTTTCCATACGATGTCTTCCTGCATTGAAGGGAATCATTGAACAGAATAGCAACTCCAACACCTTTCTTATGCATTCTTTCCTGACTCATAAAACTAAAGTTGAGAGGGGTTGATTCGATAAGAACAGCTGCACTGTTATTTTGTTCAATCCAAGTTTCTGTTAAAAACATAAAATCGAGATTGTGCTCAGTGATTAAATCATTGATTAAAAATGTTTTTCCTGCCAAAGACCTGACATTTAATAAAGCTAGTTTAAGTTTGTTAAACACACTATCAGTCATGTTTTTTGTAACAAGCTGTGGCTGACATGGAATCACTGCTAAATTAGATACACTCACACAAACGTTTGAGCGCTTCCTGTTTCTATGATTCACCGCTCTTAATCTATTACCTATCAACACAGATATCGGCAAAGCTACTGGCAGGCAGGGCCCCGACATGTCCTGGAAAGAGTTGAGAGTGCCATACGCCCTTGAGCCTGGACCCATCACATATCAGTAAGAGTTTGTTGTGTTTTGTACACACACATCCTTATCAGGCTTCGGAGACTGCAGAAGCCCCCTCGAAGGGAGGGGAGGTGGTCGACGTAGGCACGGTGATGGAGACGGGCTAGATGGTGCGGGGGTAGAGGACATGCTGCCAGGGGGGGGAGGTGGTTGACGTAGGCGCGGTGATGAGGACGGGGGAGATGGTGCGCGTCTCCGCGGTGATTTTGGTGGGCGTCGTTGAGGAGCGGGGGTAAAGGACATGGTGCCAGCCCTGCGTATCGCCTTCGTTTGATCTTTGAACTCCAGGAAGGAATCGGTGCCAACCCTCTGTCCACAACTCAGCTTCAATAAAACTCAGCTTCAATATGTCCAAAACTCAGCTTCAGTATGTCCAAAACTCAGCTTCAGTATGTCCACAACTCAGCTTCAATAAAACTCAGCTTCAGTATGTCCACAACTCAGCTTCAATATGTCCACAACTCAGCTTCAGTATGTCCAAAACTCAGCTTCAATATGTCCACAACTCAGCTTCAATATGTCCACAACTCAGCTTCAATATGTCCACAACTCAGCTTCAATATGTCCACAACTCAGCTTCAGTATGTCCACAACTCAGCTTCAGTATGTCCACAACTCAGCTTCAATATGTCCACAACTCGGCTTCAATATGTCCACAACTCGGCTTCAATATGTCCACAACTCGGCTTCAATATGTCCACAACTCAGCTTCAATAAAACTCAGCTTCAATATGTCCACAACTCAGCTTCAATATGTCCACAACTCGGCTTCAATATGTCCACAACTCTGCTTCAATATGTCCACAACTCTGCTTCAATATGTCCACAACTCAGCTTCAATATGTCCACAACTCGGCTTCAATATGTCCACAACTCAGCTTCAATAAAACTCAGCTTCAATATGTCCACAACTCAGCTTCAATATGTCCACAACTCAGCTTCAATATGTCCACAACTCAGCTTCAATATGTCCACAACTCAGCTTCAATATGTCCACAACTCAGCTTCAATATGTCCACAACTCAGCTTCAATATGTCCACAACTCAGCTTCAATATGTCCACAACTCAGCTTCAATATGTCCACAACTCAGCTTCAATATGTCCACAACTCTGCTTCAATATGTCCACAACTCTGCTTCAATATGTCCACAACTCTGCTTCAATATGTCCACAACTCAGCTTCAGTATGTCTACAACTCAGCTTCAGTATGTCCACAACTCAGCTTCAGTATGTCCACAACTCAGCTTCAGTATGTCCAAAACTCAGCTTCAGTATGTCCACAACTCAGCTTCAGTATGTCCACAACTCAGCTTCAGTATGTCCACAACTCAGCTTCAATATGTCCACAACTCAGCTTCAATATGTCCACAACTCAGCTTCAGTATGTCTACAACTCAGCTTCAGTATGTCCACAACTCAGCTTCAGTATGTCCACAACTCAGCTTCAATATGTCCAAAACTCAGCTTCAGTATGTCCACAACTCAGCTTCAGTATGTCCACAACTCAGCTTCAGTATGTCCACAACTCAGCTTCAATATGTCCACAACTCAGCTTCAGTATGTCCACAACTCAGCTTCAGTATGTCCACAACTCAGCTTCAATATGTCCACAACTCAGCTTCAATATGTCCAAAACTCTGCTTCAATATGTCCACAACTCAGCTTCAGTATGTCCACAACTCAGCTTCAATATGTCCAAAACTCAGCTTCAGTATGTCCAAAACTCAGCTTCAGTATGTCCAAAACTCAGCTTCAGTATGTCTACAACTCAGCTTCAGTATGTCCACAACTCAGCTTCAATATGTCCAAAACTTAGCTTCAGTATGTCCAAAACTCAGCTTCAATATGTCCAAAACTCAGCTTCAGTATGTCTACAACTCAGCTTCAGTATGTCCACAACTCAGCTTCAATATGTCCACAACTCAGCTTCAGTATGTCTACAACTCAGCTTCAGTATGTCCACAACTCGGCTTCAATATGTCCACAACTCAGCTTCAGTATGTCTACAACTCAGCTTCAATATGTCCACAACTCAGCTTCAGTATGTCCACAACTCAGCTTCAGTATGTCTACAACTCAGCTTCAATATGTCCACAACTCGGCTTCAATATGTCCACAACTCAGCTTCAATATGTCCACAACTCAGCTTCAATATGTCCACAACTCGGCTTCAATATGTCCACAACTCAGCTTCAGTATGTCTACAACTCAGCTTCAGTATGTCCACAACTCAGCTTCAATATGTCCACAACTCAGCTTCAGTATGTCCACAACTCAGCTTCAATATGTCCACAACTCAGCTTCAATATGTCCACAACTCAGCTTCAGTATGTCCACAACTCAGCTTCAGTATGTCCACAACTCAGCTTCAATATGTCCACAACTCAGCTTCAGTATGTCTACAACTCAGCTTCAGTATGTCCACAACTCAGCTTCAATATGTCCACAACTCAGCTTCAATATGTCCACAACTCAGCTTCAGTATGTCCACAACTCAGCTTCAATATGTCCACAACTCAGCTTCAATATGTCCACAACTCAGCTTCAGTATGTCCACAACTCAGCTTCAGTATGTCCACAACTCAGCTTCAATATGTCCACAACTCAGCTTCAGTATGTCCACAACTCAGCTTCAGTATGTCCACAACTCAGCTTCAATATGTCCACAACTCAGCTTCAGTATGTCCACAACTCAGCTTCAATATGTCCACAACTCAGCTTCAGTATGTCCACAACTCAGCTTCAATATGTCCACAACTCAGCTTCAATATGTCCACAACTCAGCTTCAGTATGTCCACAACTCAGCTTCAGTATGTCCACAACTCAGCTTCAATATGTCCACAACTCAGCTTCAGTATGTCCACAACTCAACTTCAGTATGTCCACAACTCAGCTTCAATATGTCCACAACTCAGCTTCAGTATGTCCACAACTCAGCTTCAGTATGTCCACAACTCAGCTTCAGTATGTCCACAACTCAGCTTCAGTATGTCCACAACTCAGCTTCAGTATGTCCACAACTCAGCATGTCCACAACTCAGCTTCAATATGTCCACAACTCAGCTTCAATATGTCCACAACTCAGCTTCAATATGTCCACAACTCAGCTTCAATATGTCCACAACTCAGCTTCAATATGTCCACAACTCAGCTTCAATATGTCCACAACTCAGCTGCTCACCACCACCCGACGCTCCCCATTAAACACCGCATTGACTTACTTATCTTACTATTCACTTTCAAAGCTCTCAACAACCTTGCCCCCCCCCCCCACCTCTGTGACCCCATCCAACGACACACCCCCACCCGTCGCCTCAGGTCTCACGTCATTCCAAAAATCCCTCAAAACTCACCTTTTCACTCTTGCCTTCAACCCCTAATCCACTAACCCCTCGCCCTTATCCACCTAGTTTAGCGCTTTTTATTTATGTTGTTATTTTTCTTCTTTACTTGCTTTCAAAGCGCTTTGAGCACCAGGAAAGTATTATTATTATTATTCATAATGTGTGCCTTCATCACTCACCATCCGTCGCTGTCTGCAGCGTTGACGTTCACCCCAAAGTCCAGCAGGAACTTGACTATGTGGTGGTGTCCCGCACACACGGCGTTATGCAGGGGGGTGATGCCCTCGTCATTGGCCGTGCTCGGGTTCTCCACCTGGAAATGAATGAAAGGCCCAGATGAAAAGATGAGTGCTAAGGCGCAAATGCGTGGGAATTAAAATAATTTAAAAGCATACTCACACAGTCGTGACATACCTCATAGATAATCCTCTGGACGAGGTCAAACTCCCCCTCCAGCGAGGCGTCCAGCAGCAGAGCCAGAGGGTTGAACTTCACCCTGAAGCCGTGGCCCGTCCGCTCAGAGTCCGGCTTCTTCAGGTTCGTACGCTTATCCTGATCAGAGAGGAGGAAGCACCAGTTATGACTGTCGCATATTGTCTGTACATCCTTTGTATGTTTTTTAGGAAAAGCATTTTAATTCAATGCATTACTCTTTTTCTCTTTATTTATTGAATTGGTGGGTATGATATTACCCCAGTTGATAACTTAAAACATTTTCTGTATTGCAGGTTTTCTTCAATGTTATGTTCAAAATAATAATGAGGAATTATCTGTATCCAACTCTATAGACCCAAATAGACACAGAGGAGTAAAATAAACATCTCGTTGTGTATTTTTGAAGATTTAAAACAACAATTCTAGACAATTCTTGTTTGTTCTCATGTTGGTAAATTAAAATTATATTAATCATAGAAAAACTGAAACTAACTAAATATATCAGTGTTTCCCCTAGGTTTACTGCTTTGGGGGGGGGTGCTGCCTGAGCGGGGGGGGGTATTGGGATATATTTTTTTAAATCCTCTGGAGCAGAGAGGGGAGCTGTGGATTATTGTTATTTTCAGTGTTTCTTAGGGTCAAAAACACTAAACTCACAACTTACAATGAAAGCGTTTTGTTTATTTAATAAAAGAGCACATGTTCAATGTGAAAAGTGAGAGTAGATATAGATTAGTTGCAATTTGTTGCTATATATAAATATAAAAAATATAACACCTTGAATTTCAGGGGGGGCGGGGCTCCGTTGGCGGGGCGCAGCGCTGTATATACAGTGCTTTTTAGGTTTTTTCAAACAAATGTGTGTAAATATGCAGATGAGGTATAGTCTTAGGCTTTTTTATGGTAAATTAAAGAGAAATCTACAGAAACAAAATTACAACGTTTGTAAAATAAACACTTTAAATGATTTTTCAGTCTGTAAGAAGAAATGTTATGTAAGCAAAATAGCTTACATAAATTGTGGGAAAAACATTGCATGTACTGTCCCATAATAGGTGTGTGTGTGTGTGTGTTTCTCACCAGAGTGTGTGAGCTGGCGGAGCCGCTCTCCTCTGGAGTGCTGACCTCCAGCAGGGGGCTGGGCAGCGACGCCTCGGAGCCCCCCATGTTGTTGTTGTTGTTGTCGTCCTCTGCCTCCTCGTCTTCAGCGGGATCCAGCTCTGGTGGCGAGGGCAGCGACTCGTTGGCGTTGGCGTCACTCGGTGATGTCAGACCGCCCAGCTCCTCGGCCCCCGGTGGAGGAGGAAGCGGCAAATCAGAGAGGAGGTTTCCATTGTCTGTATCCGCCCCCGAGTCGCCTCCCAGATACGCAGGAGGGTTCGCCGGCTGATAAAATGGCGTTCCGTTACCTGCACCGTTGCCTCCTCCCGACCCGCTGACTCCATTCCCCTCGATGCCCCCTGCCAGGGTGTTGAACCTCTGGTAGAGCAGCTTCTGGATGTTGGGGCCACTGGGGCCCTCCGGCTCTGTGATGGAGCTGCGCTTCTTCAGCGGCCTCGGAGCGTTCGCCAGCTTCTTACGTAGCACCTCGAGATCCGAGTCGCTCTGGTAGCGCAGCGGGGAGTGAACCATGGGGGTGAGCTTGGTGGGGCTGAGCGGCCGTGGGATGTTCTCCACGCTGGGGGGAGGGGCTAAGGGCTCTGGGTGCTGGTAGAACTCCTGATCATCCATTTCTCCGTCCATACAGTCCTCACCAATGAGATGGCCTTGGAGCAACGGGAAGGCCCCTCCGGCCTGGGTGAAAGGCAGAGGCGAGGGGGGGGTCGAGCTGGGGTGGAGGACAGGCTTCCCATATACTACGGACAAACAGAGAGAGGGGGAGAACATTGGAGGGAATTTACATCAACATCATTATTATTTATTCACCTGGTAGTTACCTTTTTCATTCATAGTAAGTAGTCTAAAACACTAAAGTTACAATTGCACATCACTTGTATCGAAATGTCTGTATCACAGTCCAAGATTAAATTGATATAAATACAAAAAAGTTATGTATATGCTTTTTTAAAGCTGAAACAAGCAAACTTTAGCTTTCTTGACAGCTGATCAAAAAAAGATGTGTATGGTCAATTGCCACAAAAACATTTGCACATGTATTTACTTGTCCTTTTCTTATGTTGTTTGTTGCTGACCAATTCATGTTTTTTTTATTTATTATCATGAGTAATTATGTCTTTATTATTTCTTGAAGCTTTTTGAGGATAAAGGAAGTTATTCTTTAAGTGCTAAATAACAATTAAGTGTATGATAATGCTGTATCTTTTATGAAAAGTCTCATTGGTTGAACTTTAGTTTCTCATGTATATCTGTATCACAATATATACAGTAGGCCCGACTGATTGATTCAGCATTTTTACCCAAGAGTATTAATAGTTTTACTCGAGTAGAAATGTGAGTACTGCACCATCTGTTCAGATCTCTCACCTGCTTTGAGCGCTGGTTTGAGCGGCTGGCTCTTTGGCGCTGCCTGCTGGAGGTACATGTGATAGATGGAGCTGGAGTTCATGGTAGGCGGACCCTTTCGGGGCGACTGCGGCCGTGACCCTCTGTCTGGGATGAAGGGGCGCACTGCCACAGCTGGGGGGGGATCCAGCCGCTCGCTCAGCCCGGGGGGGAAGAGCGGGGCGTTCTGCTGGAAGGTGGGACTCGGCGGCACCGAGATCCGCTGCTGGATCTGCTGCGAGGACGAGCCAGTGGTGGCGGGGGTGCGGGGCCACGCCGGAGCTGGGGGGTTTGGGAGGGGGCGAGGAGGAGGAGGAACTTCCTTGCGTCGATCCAAGGTGGTGGCCGAGTTTGCTGAGATGAGGTGGGAGCCATAGGGAGGCGGCTGTGGCTTTGATATGGCGGGGGAGGACACAACCATTTTGGAGTCTAGCACCTGTGAAGGAGCATGAAATACAACATCCATCACTACACTCTTTTTAAATGAATAAAGAGGAATCTTATAGATGTGACCTTAGGAGGTAGAAAACAAAAACAATAGACAGATAGGAGAAGGAGGACAAACCTTGTCTGCACTCGGAGTGACGGGGGAGCCTGAGGGAGGGCTCTTGCCCTGGGTGTCAGTCCCTGAGTTTCGTCTCTCAGGAGGCTTCAGAGTTGAGTTTGACTTGCCTAAAGTAGGCCAACCAGCTTCACTCGCTAGGGCACAAACAGGACACAGTGAGTATGTTGTAAAAGAGCAAAACAGGCCATTAATGGACATGATATGAGAAGCCCAAGCCTCTTTTACAAACCAGATCCAGGTCAAAATGGTAACAATTGATGACCTTTCACACTGGAAATGTGTGAATGTGTGATTAACCACATATTGTGGAACATTTGTGATTGTATAAGAATAGAAAAAGTTTAAGACTTGACACACATAAAGCATCTCTACCATTTTGACCCAGACTTGGTGTTAAATGGAGGGTTCAGGATTTTCAGAAGCTTATCCTATTAACCAGACACCAATAGGAGACATTCAAAACTACATTCCTGTTGCCTTTTTCTAAACAATTGAGCATAGTTTACACATACAAGTCAAACTATGTCCCTAGAAAAAACAACAATTGCTTAAAGCTTTATTACTTTTACTGCCACTAACTACTTATGGTTGATTTTTTCATCTCTGGCAAAAAGGATTAGCAATTACCCTCCCTTCTTCTGAGAGGTACATTCACCAAGAAGACCGAACACAACAGATTTCAAGAAAGGCTTTTGCTCAATAAGAAACACATCCTGAGCCTTCACAGCAATGATGGTAATGAATTCATCTACATTAGTGGATCGCTTCTCTGGACGTGTATTTAGTGTTTGGATTTAGTTCGATTTGTTAAATGACAACTAAATTGCGATGTAGAGGAAAGGACTGCTTGTACCGTTTATCTCCAAGAATAAACGTATATCTTGAAAAATATATATATGCAGGGTAAAGAAGCTGCAAGGATAGGTTGAAAAGAAGTAGGATGGAAATTGGAAGACAAAACAAAAGCAATATTTGTGGGACAATTCTACAGGAATTTGGTTGTATGGAAATGACAATAACCAACTAGTTACAGACCCCAAATGTCTAACAAGCAGAATATGGCTTTTCAGATTTCCAATATGCTTTTGTTTTGTTTTGAGTACCTATGGTTACTCCAAATAAACAAAAAATAAAGATTGAGAAAGCGGCTCTACCTACAATCAAGAGTGCGAAAGGAAACCGCTTGATCTGGGTCTTTGCATTCTATCATGAATTGTTCATTGACTTTGATGATGTACGTTCATTTCCCTCGACATGTTAAGTGTTTGTCAACTAGAAGAGATTCTCACAGCTCAGTTGTTGTGAAGATGTGATGTGGATGTTAAGGTTAGGCAGTCTGGGGGATGTTATGAAACTAAAACAAAGCCCAAATATCTGCTCTTCATGTGTGAATATTCGAGGCACAGCGCTCACTGAACCTTCTCAGAAGTGTACCGAAAACACTCACAGGGATCAGCGGTGACACTTTCCTCATACGAGGCATGATGTCAGCTACGATTAGTGGCCGTCCAATTTCTGCAGATGGCAGCAAAGTGTTTCAAGATGGCTCCCCACCGCTTTGACGTCATTAGCCGATCCGCAGAGGAAACACTCAAATGTCAACATGTGCTCTCTTCAGTTCACTAAAACTGGCTGAATGCTGCTCTGGCAGGAGAGCTTGATGACGCCAAACCAATGTGCTTCCATCAGCCTGCCATTGTTCACGTTAAGCTGGTACAGATGCTCATCTCCTTCAGATTCCACAGCGGTGCAACTTTAATTTGTCTGCCAGAGAAAATCAGCTGCATTACAGTAAAGTGAATCTGAAGGGCTGTACATCATTTCCAAACATGTTTTGAAGCTCTGTCGTCATATTTTATTATGTCATCACCCCAAAAAAACGTTTGAATCCATTAACAAAATCCTCAAATTGAATAATATGGTTATTCAAATTAAATAAAAGCCTTTGTTGTTTTAATCAACTCAACAATCGACCAATGGCCATTTACAATTATTAATACTATTACTATTATTAGCATTAGTCTATATTTTGGTTGAAACTAAACCAGGAAAAAAAAGAAAAACATAAATAATAATAAAAAAATATATAAATAAAATCGAATTTTAAAAACAATTTTCGATTATGGAGACTAACGAATATTCGAAAAATCGAATAATCGCTGGCATCCCTAGTACAAACACTGAGAATCGATGCATGTTAATCTGTGTTTGCGACTGAGCAAAACTGGCTTCATCAAAATCAGTGCTTCTCAAAGTGTGGTCCGCGGACCACTGGTGGTCCGTGAGCGCCCCCTAGTGGTCCGTGAGTATATTGGTAACATTTCACCTTTGAAATAAATGAATAAATGTAAGTTTTCCGCACTCTCGCGGGAATATCTCCGCAATGGAGCGAGGTTAAGTTTCACTTTCGATTGCATGATATAGCCCAGCGCAACACCTTCATCACACATGTTGCCACTTGTTTGTACCATTTTCAGGCGATTTGTAAACTGTTCTAGAAAAACAATGTGTTTTTTGATATTTGTGGAGTTAGTTGGTCCGCGAGTGTTTTTTTATTGGTTAAGTGGTCCTTGGTACGAAAAAGTTTGAGAAACACTGATCAAAATGAATAGACTTTCAAAATGAAAGTGCTGCTTGAAATTCAGATGTTGGTCTAAAATGTGATGAACATTATGAATTAAGCTTTCAAATCTGGCATAGCCATATTTTTATGTTTGAGTATGAAAACGCTAGTTGGTGACTTAAGTGTGGGGCGCTCAAGGTGTGATTGGGCAAACTGACTATATTTAAAAGATGACGATGGTGTAAAATCTCCTGTGCATGCCGAGGGTCTCGTGCTACAATGGACAGAGAAGGTTCAGGAGGTGCCCCCCCCACACCCTGCTTATGCAGCACTGAGCACTCACGGGACGTGCCGTCAGAGCCCGTGGAGGCTCCGGGGCCCGACTTTGATTCCTGAAGGGACGGGGGTACCGGGTCCACAACGACGTCTAAATCAGACACTTTCCAAGGACGGGGAGGCTTTCGCACACCGTCTGCCCCAGGAAAGAGTTGACCCCACCCCCAATGAATAAACAGAGACATGACAGAGAAAAGACAAGACAGACAGAGGAGGAGAGAAAAGGAATCACACCACAGGAAGAGAGGCACGTTAGAGAGGAAGGAAAAGGAAGTCACAGAAATCAAGTGCAGGCGGAGAATTAACAAAGAAGTCAGGTAGGAAGGAAATTAACATTTTGGGCCCAGCAGGGAATTTCAGTCACAAAGTTTCCATGCAAGACGTGTTAAATGTGTAGTAAGACTTCTAACTCTGGGACTCCAGGATCCATCTCTCATCTGGTTTGTCTCACTGACTAAGTCCCTGCTTTCTTCATGAGGAAAAAGGAATAGAAATTCACTAATACTGTATCTTCAATTAAAAAACTTGGCCTAAAGAAAGTGTATCACTTCGTATCCACTGCTACAGTTGTTGTCTTCTATGACGGGCATTTGGGGGAAAAAATGCCTTGCAATTGTAGTTTCATTTGCTTCCACCAACCTGACTTGGTGCGGCCGTGGTTGGCTTGGTTATTGACGCCCAGAGTCTGAGGCTTGAGGGGATCGGGGGGGATGTTGTAGCCTCCTTCCTGTCGGCCCGGGACAGGCACCTGGATGTACGGCCCCACGGCAGCGACGCGGCCCAGGGTACCAGCAGCCGGCTGAGGGGAGGGGGGCCCGTTGGCTCTGTTCAGCTGTAAGAGAGATAGAAAAGATTCAAATATGATGACAGAGAAAACAATCAACATGTAGAGGAGATATAAGAGAAAGAGAAAAGCTCTTAATGGTTTGGGACCGGCCTACATTGCTGACTTGTCCTTTTAATAATCCTTCACAAGCTCTCAGATCTTCTTCTGCTGGGTTTTTAATGCACAGAGTTATACGCACATGAAAATAAGCAGCAAAGCTTCTTTATGCTAAGATCCAAGATTATTGAATAACCCAGCAAGAGCTATAAGAGATGCAAGCTGTGAGCTCTTTAAATGAAAATCAAACACATTTAATTTGGCTAAATCTGGCTGTAATTTCAATGTGTGTTTTCAATGTTGTATTATTCTTTATTTTGTATTTATATATTAAATAATCTTTGCAAATGTCTATGTCCATTTCCTCTTGTTGATACGTTTTGAATGTCTGAGCTACATCTCTTGTAAGAAAAGACTTGAAATATTATTAAAATTATTTTGCTGATTATTATTATTATATAATGATAATATATTCAATACAATAATACGGAAGTTTCTTAGTCAGTTTTCATTAAATAATGGCTTATACAGAGGAGAGAAAAAATGTTGTCTTTACGTTTAACAAGTCACATGTAATGTAATGTTTCCGTGAAGACTTGCAAAAGCTTAAAGAAATACAATTTGGTAAACATCGGATGTTCTGCCTTCTCACTGGGACAGGCGTTTGTCAGAAGCATTTGAACAAAGAAAACAGTCTTAAGGAGGAGAGGTGTTGAGCGCTCTTAGTCTTACAGGAAGGTTTTCTTTTTGACGTGCCTCAGCTTTTTTCTTGTAGAGACGTTCCCGCAGCTCGCTGATGCGTTTGTCCATGAGCGTCACCTCCATGTTGCGTTTGTTCAGGATATCCTTCTGCTGCTTCAGCTTGCTGTTCTGCTCCTGGTTCAACTTGTTCCGGATCTGTGGGTGATAAACGCAGACACGCATACAGATTCATTAGAACACATTTATACTGGAGATATTGCAGTAAAAACCATTCACTTGGATTTATTAAACTTATTCCGTTGCTGCCTTGAAACGTGAAATTCCTTCCAGAGATTATTAAAAGTCAATTTTATCTCATTTTTTTGTTTTTTCTAAAATGTTTTGATTTTTTTTTATACAACAATACAAAAATGAAAGATAAAAAAAAAACATGCTTCATCTGTATAACATATATAATAAAACAAAAATGATGCATAAAAGAAAAGACCTAACATCACTGCAGTTATTCATGAAGTAGTCGGAGACATTGCTTACAGCTTAAAAGGGGGTTCAATCAAATGTGGTGATGACTAATATTGTTGTGTTGATGTAAAAGCAGTTCAAACAAACCAGTTACATTTGGGGGGGGAATGAACACGACACAAGGGTTAAGTGGAGTATTAATAGACACCTGGTATGAGCAGCAGCACAAACTTTGTTCAACTTATTTAAAAAAACCGGTACCTGAAGCTCCTGGTACAGTTTGCGGAGCTCGAGGGCTGCAGCGCCGCTGACCTGGCCCCCCAGAGCGGTCTGAATGCCGTTGAGCTTCCCCCTCCTCAGGTCCTCCAGCTGCAGGCTGAGCTGCTCCACCCTCAGCACCGCAGACTGCAGCTCCCCCTGCTTCTCCTGGAACAGGCCGCTGACCTGCTCTATCTCTGCCGCTGGACGAGAGGAAGGAAGAAAAGACACATCAGCTCGTTCTACATGTTGGGAGACTCCTTCAACGTGAAAGGTAATGTTTATTCTCATATCTGGGTGCGATTAGGCTTTCTCTTGAGAGAGAATATCTGAGCATACATCATAATATTATTATACTAATATTATTAGTTATAAATGTGTACATACTCACATAAAGCGAGCTGTGTCCTCTACTCTGTAATTGTCTAACAAACTGTTTAGTTCTAATTATAGAAAAAAAACTTTAAAGAACACGAATTTAGCCTGAATAATTGCTTTATTCTAATTAAAGACTTGAGGATTTTTGTGGTGAAAAGTGAAAACAGACATTTAAAGCTTGGTTCAAAAAGATCAATAGAATCTGAGCAAGGAAAGACAAATCCCCTTAGTTACAGCCCTTACTGCATAGCTGTTTAAAACAAAGTTAGTTCATTTGTAAAAGGTTGCTAGTATACATACACAGGTTGCCATTGATGACCTTGCTGTAGTCCACCTGGCCTCTCATTGCCCGGATCTTCTTGAGCTTTGCCTCCTGGTTCTCCACGCGATCCTTCAGCTTCTGCAGCTTCTCGCTCTCTGAAACGGTTTGCTGCTGACGCCGCTCCTGCTGCTTCAGGTAGCGCAGACGTTGCTCCTTCAGAGGACAAGACGCGCGTTATTATAGGCAATAAATGATGTCGAAATGCATCCAACAGTAAAAGAAACAAACAGCTAGGAACCACCCCAAAGCTTGGCAGATATCTGTGTGGCAGACACACCCTGAAACTGGGCTAAATCTTTCTACTGGAAGTGAAATGCTGCCGTGTCAAAACTGTCTGAAGGCTGAAGAAAGGGTCCGATGACTTCATCTCTCCACCCAACTGAGAACTGCTCCAGTTAGGGTCTTAAAATAGGAAATGACAGGCCCAGGTTTCCAAATGACTGCAGGGCTTCATGAGGGGCCTACTTTTCAGATACCCCAACAATAGATGAATACGTCTTGCTATCTGCGGTGTACAGTGGGCTTCATCTCGCATGACTAATGTCGACTGATCAGCACTCCATGAGCACCGTGGTGAGACGTATCGCCTGGTAGACTCTGGTGGTGTGGCGGTATTCATTCCATTAGAAAAGGTACAATTGCCTTTCTAAAACTGGTCTGAGAAAGGTAGTATAATGTTCAACAGCATGCATAAATCACATGCTTGACAAAACACGGCAATGTCTGTGCACGAGTTGTTTTAAAGACTGAACTATGAATTCTGACAAAATGGACAATCCTCCCGCAATGATTCATACTGCCTCCCATCTCATTTGTTGTTACACAACGGTTTGCCCCAGTTTCAGGTCACGACGGGACTCTTGGGATGAGAGGAGTGCAACGAGAGTCCATTTTCTCTCAAACAGAAGGATGTGTTCTGAACTTACGTGGCCTTGGACTAATGCTTAGCCTTTGTCCATGTCCCAGACTACATGACATAATATCAGACCTTTACTGCGTTACACAACATGTGAAAGATACCTTGGCTATGATTGGTCCAGCTTAAATGTAGTCTGCCATGTTTCGCAGCCAACTTACTAATAGCACATCAGAAACCTTTTTAAAAGTCAAAAATAAAGTGTGGCCTCGGGTTTCCAGATAGCTCAGTGGTTAGAGCTGGTGGCCCATAGGCGTACAACGCTGCCTAGTAAGCTGGTACGAACATTCAGGCAATGTCCTCACCTCTGTCTCCCCCGTTCAACTCTATACATCTCAAATAAAGGCCATCTCTAGCCCAAACATTTAAAAAAAAGAATAATAAAAAAAACATGAGAACTTAACTTTTACACTTAAGGAGTGGACAATTTAAAATTAGAATATTGTCTGGCAGGTACCTTTGCGACTAGCATCTGCTGCTGAGCCTCGATTTGCTGCTGCTGCCGTGTGGCCATCTCCTGCAGCTCCGACAGCGTGAGCTCCACACGCTGATTCCCCACCTACACACACACACACACACAAGAAAAAGTCATTGCCACACTGAACCTAAGCAGGGTGGTCCTGATGTTTACAACCGAGCCATGTAGACTAATTATACATACGAATGTAAACAGAAAGGGCTGCTGCCTCGCTTCTTTTAAACCCCAATACACGATTTGTATTCATGAGGAGAAAGAATATTAAATAAATAAATATATATACTCGATTCTCGCTCTAGACAAAACATGATCATTTAGTAGTTTGGTTAAAGTTAAATCTGGGAACAGTTTGATTTCAGAATGAATAATACCTTATACATATAAATGATGTCTTGAAGATCTCTAACGTGAGATCCCATGCAGTGCCATGTTTCATGGTGTCATTTATTTATCAACTCACAAACACATTTTTTATATAATTGCAAGATGTATGCAGGAAAATACATTCTCCATTCAAAGTTATACGAGCTAAAAACATCACATAACCATTAAGAAACGGGATAGACAAAAAGAAGCCATTTGCAGAAAGGTTTTTTAAAAGATGCCCGTTTCATCAGCCGGAGACTCAGCTTCTTCCTCCACAACAAAGCTCCAACAAATCTCTATGATGAGACCTTAGCTATAATGAGACTCTGTTAGTCAGTTAGCCAGCAGAGATAACGGTTAAAACAGGCTTTACTAGGAAACATAAACATTTTCAATAAAATCCTCTTCTCGAGGGTGAAACCATGTGTTGTTCGAGAGCTCACAGAATAAAGGAAAACTGGAGATCACTTTCAATTCTGTTCTTCACCAAACTCTCCGTCTCCACACTTGTTATAAAACTAAAAGTAGTTTCTACCATCAACACACTGGCACACTACTCTGGATAAAACAGCATACGGAGTGAGAGTCCTCTCAACTACAAGCGGTTTGAAATGCTGAAGCGCCCCGAGACTTTGCCTTTAGGAAAGTGTGTTGAAAGAGGGAGGAGGCGAGGCTGTGAAAGTCATGCTTTCTGTTTTTCAGATCAAAATATCTATAATACTGGTTCAGATAAAGTGCTTTTTTTAAGACGTGAAGAGATTTAGAGTAGTAGAGGAAGGATGACGATATGAAACCAAATGAGATAATAAAGTGAAATAAACACGCAAAAGTAAAACAAATATACTGCTCTCACCGCTGATTGGAAGAGGCAGACATGTTTGTGACTCATCTTGTCTGGATAAAACATGCTTTTTTTTGGGGAATACTTTGACTTTAGTACTCATGCGTCATCTCATCTCCTTGGACACGGACAGTGCATTAGCCTCGCCCGTGTGGCTCACGCAGTGTTTTCCTACCTGTCTGGGAAGACTCGGAGGGGGGGGGGGGGGGTGAGGGGGGAGGCGACTCAAACCGAGGTGGAGATGGGGAGAGCGGGGGAAGCCACTGGCACACACACGCAGCCACGCTCAGATGCACACAGGCAACACTGCATCAGTGACAATTCACCCGAGGGAGAAACACACACTCGCCCTCAGACAGTGATGAAGAGGGAGCCGGAGAAACACCCGACTGAGCAGAAACCAGCCTCACTGAGGGGAGCCCACGCTAGCCACGCCAACAACAGCTCAGATCTGTACGGGTCCGAAATGGAGAGCAATCCATGATTATGGCTAAAATAATTATATTAATAAAATAATCCAAAAGGATACAAAATAAATAAATAAAACAGTTACTCATGATGACTATCACTGTCATTTTTTCCCATGAATTGATCAAGAGAATAATTTCAGCAACTACTTTGAAAATAGATCTTCTTCAAATTCATGTCTCAGATGGTTATTTGAATGCCTTTAGGTTTTTTTTACGAAATTATGATTTGCATTTTTAACTAGTATCCCACTTTCTATAGACCAAAATATTGATGGTTTAGTCAGAATAAATCTCTGCGGATTAAGAGTTAATACAAATAATCTTTATCTTTTTGACATGGGCAAATATAGCTGCGACTATCTTCATTATTGATTCATATGTGGATTATTTGATCATGTATTCAATGGATGTAGATCGAAGTCATTTCTCTCGTCAATGTATTTCCAATTGGGGGTTAGTTTGACCAAAAGTCTAACACCAAAGGTATTCAGTAAACCATCAGAAATGCAGCATATTTTTACATTTGAGGAGCTTGAACAAGAGAATATCTGCTTGAAAAATGTAGGATCAATTAGTAAATAGTATACTGGCAATCAGCAGGCATCATCAACTATGGAAGGTATATTTGTGATACCAAGATATATTGAAAATGTGTGTGATTGTTGTCGCGTTCCCTTGAGGGGTCTCTGCTCTTTACGAGGCAGCGTCCCTCTCAGAGGATGATCAGGAGAGAGAGAGAGAGAGTAGGAGAGAGGAGAGAGAGAGAGAGAGAGAGAAGAGAGAGAGAGAGAGAGAGAGATAGAGAGAGAGAGAGGAGAGAGAAGAGAGAGAGAGAGAGAGAGAGAGAGAGAGAGAGGAGAGAGAGAGAGAGAGAGAGAGAGAGAGCCCCTGGGTTTGGGCAGCAGTCCATGGAAAAGCCAAAGCAATGATCCTCTTAGGGCCCGTTTATATCATCCAGCGGGCCGACTGATATAATCCTCTAAATCAGATATTAGGGAAGAAACTCGGACACGACTGAGCCTCGGCACTTAGACGGTTAAGCAGAGAAGCTGATATTGCTGAACAAACTGTAGTGATAAAATCCACGTTTTTTAGACGTCATGCTATAGTGTGGAAATGTAAACGTTAGTTAAACAAGACGGTCGCTTTGGGATTTAATCAATCGCATATATCTGGATCCATAACAAATGTATGATCCTTCCTCGAAACAGAGTTTAAAGTTGTGGGCTTTCAGGATATTAAGAGGAATTCATTCTAGGGGCTTTTGTGCTACAGGATTTCTTCAACATACAAAAACAACTTCTCCATATCCTGCGTCGCTGGATTCTTCCCTTCACCCTTAAGGTTGAATTAGTTACGATTCCTTGACCGCAACACTTTCCTTTTTGTGAAATCTGGGACAGACGGTCAGAGAGAGAAAAGGATGCCACGCCAGAGGCGGCTCTTATCGGAGTCAGACACACATCCTGAAGCTAGAGCTCAGCCTGCACAACAGCGGGTACACCTGACAGGGAAAGAGGGCCGTGTGCAAAACCAGCAGCTCCGTAACACCAGGGTCAGTGATGTTACTCTCAGACAAGCTTCATATCAGAATCATATATTCAGAGACAGTGACACTTCTCCATCAGACCGTAGACTGGAATTCTGCCATTATTGTGCTTTACAATTAAAACCCAGAAATGCTCAATCCAGTAAACAACCTGACGGCGTAGGAACAGATGTAAAAAAATATCACATCAGCTGAACTCACAGGAAGAACAATGACCCTGAGAATGTACTTTCCAGTCTTTTAAAGTAAACAGTTCAGAGTTCACCAACAAATGATGCCTTTTTGTTGGTTTCTGAAAGCCACTATATTTAAAAAAAGGTATTTTTTTGCTTTTGTTGAACTTAAACATTTGTTATATTTAATGTATACTTTTTACAATTTTGTGCATGCATCTGAGGATTTTCCTTCGCACAATATGTGATGCCAAGACGGCTCATCAGTTTGAAATCAGGACGATATAAGAGCGAAGCTATGCTAATTAGATCCCATCCTTCCCTTTATCTTTGATGAATACAACACAGTATGCAGGAGTTTTACAATGGCACTCCGAGCATGTCGAAATAACATGAACCAAAAGTAACATTACCTAGTAGTCAAAGCTATCGTAAACAGGCTAGGCTAACTAGCTTCCACACTCCATTTGTAAGATAAACTAACTGTGTGTTCTCATTTATTGAATGCAATAAAAAACAAATATGTAGAACCTTTTTCAAATCAGATTTTGGGAAGATTTGATAATGACATTTAATAAGGACCCGAGTACATTTGTATTTTTAACATAATCTAGATGATGCTTATTGAGTCTCACCCCGTTCTCACTGTTCTTCTCTCCGCTGCTTCCACTTCTGCGACTCGTCTGATCCTGAGACTGCTGACTCCCTGCAAACAGAAACAGTCGCCATCACACACACAAACAAACAAATGTGCACACAGCCACAAACAAGTGCAGATTAAGAGGCAACAACCATTGTCAGGAATGGTTTGAAAATCCACTGACTTGATCGCTCATGACGGCGGCATTTAGAACCGGGACAAGCGCTGCTGACTAAAGCCGCTGTTTTTTAATAAAACAGATTTGATGGAGTAAATGATTTAAAACCTCACAGGAAGGGATAGCAAACTAGCAACTTATGCTGCACTTCTAAAAGAATCCTCAGATATTTTGAGGGTACCTCACTTTCTTAGTCAAGCTCCACACTTATATCAAATAGGAATCATATCTGGATCACGGCAGAGTGAGTTTGCTTCCCTGCCGCCTGTTGACTTTGAGTGTACTTCCTTTGTGTGTACTTCAACTCAAATCCAACATTTAAATAAATCCTACTCTAGGTCAGCCCCTGATCGTGTGCAGCACTGGTTTTAGCGATTGATTTTAAGCATGGGTGCTTTTTTATGTGGCTCTACTCCAAAACTCAAATGCAAAAAAGGTTCATGTCAATGCAGCGTTTGTGCGTGCAAAAATGTGGCACTGATTTATTCCTTTGACATGCCCCATCAAGTATTGATTACACTTTTTGAAAAAAGTCCCTTTGACTGACGCCACGACTAAAGCTGAGCAGCGAGCCAGAAGCGCTGTCAGGAATTTCCTGGAAAACAAACCCCACCCTCCATTTTCCACATGGAGAGAAAACGTCCAGACAGAGCCGACACGATAACACACACACCTTGATCGCTGCTCTCTGTCGGTGAGTCTTCGTGCCGGAGGAAGAACTTGACTTCTTGTTTCCGAGGCCCCCATTTCTGCAGATGTTCATACATCATGTGTTCGAAGGGGATCGCTCGCTCTACAGAGACAGAAAAGTAAAGAGTAGTTAAACACATTTGTCTCATGGACACAGCTGTCTAAAAAGGTAACAAAACACACCAGTAATAAGTTATCTGAAGCGCACTGAACACCTAGGTAAATATCTTGTTTGTTGAAAGTGTAAAAACAGCAATTGGTGATTTTAGAGGGGGTAATGCTGTTTCCACTGGCTTAAATAAGAGTGTTAGCCTTCCCTGTTCTAAGATGATTCCAATAATCTCAATATGGCATTATGGGATTAATTAGTCTACAACTATTATTGATTAAGCAAAAGAGCACATTTCCAAAATGTCAACGAGTTCCTTTTACCAGAAAAAGAAAATGCACGCACGGCAAAATGGCAAATAAAAAACATTATTCAAAAACATGTTTGTGGTTGTTTCTGTCAAACTGGAGGTCTCTACGCGGGATTATATCCTGCCATACATTTGGAAAGAACATGTACTAGTGATACAATATTGCAGTATGTAATGACGAAAGAACCCACAACACAGGCGACACACCTTTGAATGCCAAAGCAAACCTGTCTTGGGAGTGGAGGGGTTCAACTAAGATGATTGAAAAACTAATAAAAGTCTAAAAGATTCAATAACAACAGAAAAAAGGATGACTTTAGGCACATTATGCTTTAATCTCTCTGTATCTATCAGCATAGGGTTTGCTCAGATTTAAATCAAGTGATGAAATCCCTTTAACAATATCAAGAGGACACCGCTCTGTGGATAAAGAGAGACAGTGACAAAGACAGAGAGGTTATAGGAGGGACGGGGGGACGGGGGCAGACAGCTGCTTTGTCAGGCACCAGCCGAACATGATTGCATAACGCGGGTTAATAAAGCTCTTGGCCGGGATGTTGTTTTCAGCTGGGGAGTGGCCCCTCAGCAAAAACTGCTGATAACACCGGGTGTGTCAGCAGGGCTGTGGGGGTGGGAGCAGGTCGCTCGGGCCGAGTGGAATCTGCTGTGACAGAGCTGTGGACTGACCCAGCACGTAACCCTTTTCTGACCTACACATTGTACTTCAAGCATGTGTTCAAAGTGTGTTAAAAGCACTTTTTTTTCCTTATTCGAGGATGTGAGGTTGTCTAATGATTTCCCTCCTCCCAGGTAGTCGTGCAAGGCTCTTCTCAGAACCTGATCTTTCTTTCTGAGTTCTTACCGTTGCCTCTCCAGACCTCAGCCAGGTGGCAGCCGCTCTCCCCGGGCTCTTTGCAGAACTCCACGACATCCCGGCACGTCGTCTCAGGGGTGATGGGCACCTCCGTCACAGCCTGCTCCCCATCGCTGAGGTACACCGTCAATATCATCTAAAAAGATGGATGAAAACACACACAAATCAGGAAAGAAGAACATAAAACAGTGGCAGATCATACTGGCAGAAATTGACATACAGATGGCGTTACATGGAAATGTTGAAATATTACTACAATTTAGTTTTTGGGTAACACAAAGCCTAGTCTGCTGATGGGACACTTTAAACATCCACCAGGCCCAACTGTTAGCTTGGACTCATGCCTGTGCCTGCCACATTTCTGTGAACTCCTGTATGATTATGGCCTGCCGAAGTGTTAAGGATACACTGTTTAACCTGGGAGGTAAGACATAGCAGTGCAAGCCCCCACATGCTTCTGTCTATGCACACATATCAGTGAAAGCAGAGATCTAACACCCTGCTTTCCAAGTGCTCAACAAACAGCTTTCAGGCCGCGACACGTTGAGTGAATGAACATCAGAGGAAACTGCAGGTCTAACCTGAACACGTCCTCCTGAATGTGAGCTACTAAACGGCTTCACGTAGTAGCCCGGAGTAGGGATGGGAACGATTCATCGAATATTCAGGTATTCGAATATGAGTTATTAATATTTTTGGGAGAGATGCCTAAGTTGATTACATATTATCAAATTGAATAATTCAATGTATACGACAGTGCCATAGCTAAATGTGTTAGGTAACGTCTAAAGGTGTATTTTGCTCCGCTCACCGGTCCCTCACAGCGGGCCGGGCTGCGCTTGCTTGCTTGCTTGCTTGCTTGCTCGCGAGCGAGTTTCTAATAGCAGTTTGATCCAAAAAGGGAATTGTAGTTTTCATTTACTTGAAGCGGTTAACATGGTTAACAGACATTTGAGATTGTTTTATAGGGGAGGTTTTATTCTAAACTGAAATACGTACACAAAAGCAATTAAATAACATCATTTGGGATCAGGGAACATATATTGGCAATTATTTGGCCTTTTTAAAGTATTTGTATTCATATTTATTATCATAAATTAACGTCATGTTATTTTTCCTCCCTCAGCATATTTGCTCTATTTTTATATAATCTATGTAGAGCGTAGACCACAATTATGGTAATATCTATATGCTAATGAACAACTGTCTCATATTTAGACAAGATTGGTGCATATTAGAATTTACACACACACACACACACACACAACAACACACAACACACACACAACACACACACACACACACACACACACACACACACACACACACACACACACACACACACACACACACACACACACACACACACACAACACATCACACACACACACACACACACACACACACACACACACACACACACACACACACACACACACACACACACAACACACACACACACACACACACACACACACACACACACACACACACCACACACACACACACACACACACACACACACACACACAACACACACACACACACACACACACACACACACACACACACACACACAGGGTTAAACATGTCTGTAAAACCACTGAAAAAACCCTGCACATTTTCACAATTTGGCAATTCATTTTCTGGGTAAACAACTTTGTGGATCCTAGAATGAGATTAATCAGCTTCTGGTTGAATAAAGCCAAAATACAGGATGAGAGGAGCAGTGGAAAATGTCCTCTATACAAGTACTTTATACACAGAAAAAGAAAAAAGTTATGCCATAAAATGTCGTGTTCAAGGACAGTCAGTTTAATTATAGTTGCAGTCAGTTTCCCATCTGCCTTCGTTCAAGCTGCACAAATTAACTTTCCCTTTATTGCTATGAAATGTTTTTGGGAGATGAGAACAGACCAAATGGTTTAATATAAACCCCTTTATATTCAGTATTACAGAACATCGACATGATGCGTTTCCCTTCTGCCAGATTCTCATTGTTTCTCTCTCGGGGTTGAGGTGTGCCTTCCTGTTTCATTTGACAGTGACGAGCTCACAAAATAAAGTGCAGAGAGCCAAAATGGAGAGTACCTTCATACCAAAGCCAGGAGTTTGAAATGGATGTTCAAAATGAAATAAAAATGCTGGCTGTGTTTGAAAAGACTGAGTGCTATCATGACCTTCATGCATTTGAGATGCGGGTTTAGTTTAAGTAAACAGAGAAGGGAATCCAGATTTCTTATATTCCAGTAGCTTGCTTTTAACTAGCATAGCTTTTGCACATTGAAAAGGAACAGTTCCAGAAGAATGCAAAGAAAACCACGTAATCAAGACTTCAATGAAAAAGTCATATCAAAAGGCCTCTGTCATCAACTTAGTTTACACATGGTTCACAATGTCAAACCAAATCAATTGGCCCAAACCTACAGACCACTACACCTTACTCTGTGAAGTGTGTACAAATATGTAATGGATCAACTTCAATTCAGGCATTTACACCTGTATCACTTAGTAGGTGCTCCGATGCAAAGTCGCTCGTACATAACAAAGCCAATGAATGGATGTTCAAAATGAAATTAAAATGCTGGCTGTGTTTGAAAAGACTGAGTTTGTTCATTGAGATGTGAGTTTAGCTGGTTGTCAGTAAACAGAGTAGAAAAGAGAAAATCCAGATTTGAGCTGAGAAACAGTTCCAGAATGAGGCAAAGAAAACCACGTAATCAAGACATCAAATGAAAAAGTAACATCAAAATGCCTCTATGTCAAGTTTACACATGGTTCACAATGTCAAATTGGAGTCTACTATGTCAAACCAAATCAATTGGCCAAAACCTACAGACATTTACACACCTTACTCTGTTAAGTGTGTAGAAATACTTAATGTATCACTTAAGGTGCTCAAAGTGCGATGGAGTTTCCTTGATGCATAACCGTCTGTATGTGGGCCCTCAGGGTATATTTAGTGCTACAATGATTGTCACAGTATGACATTTAATATCTAAGTTCAGTTACTGTCTGGGCTACGTATAGATTATAACTCCGGGAGTTCCTCGGAGACAAAGTGACTCACCCTTTGTAATAATGCAGCGGAGTGATTCATGGACATTTTCTGCAGCAGCCTAACTGAAACATTATAATCACTCGTGCTTCGGAGCCTCTGCGACTTCACTCAGTCTATTATGAATCTGAAAGCTGAGATTTGGGCAAATTCGGGAACAACTGGATGTATGATAAAGTGATACGGTAGTCATGGCAATCTTAAATACTGTAACATCCACCTATGACGAGTAATGGATGTCATTTTTGGGACCCTATCTGGAAGAGCATTAACAGAAAAAAAGGAAATGGGGAGAAAATGAAAGTAAGCTGGGGGATGGTTATGCCTACATATTACTGATAGATAATTACTTTGCTAATCCCCCAGGGAAATTGGAGAGCTACCAGCTGCATAATAAGAGACAACATAGTACAGGAAGACAAATAATGAACACAAAACAACAACAACAGTGAGGCCAGTAACAACATCGGTTTGAATACAGATCACAATGAAGCCACTATTGGAATTAGTTTTGATGCATCCTTACACACATGAATCACTACAGCAGGGTTTAGTCAAAAACATATTATAGGCAAGACATGTTGTGAAATATTGTAACACTAGAAAGATATCTATATATAAATAGGGCTGCAGTTGATCATTATTTTCCTTATCGATTAATCTGCAGATTATTCTGTAGACTAACCAACAATCATTTGGTCTGTTAAATGTCAAATGTTTTAAAAAGTCCAACCTAGTTTCTCAAAGTCCAAGGGAATGTCTTGTTTTCTCCTTCCTAGGCCTATAAATACTAACTTTTGCTATGATATAAAACAGAAACAAGCAGACATCTGCTCATTTAGGAGGCTAAACAAAAACCATTTTTGCATGAAAATGATCAATTATCATTTATTTTCTGTCGACCCACTAAGTCAACTAGTAGATGCAGTTCTGAAAAAGAAGGAAACTAAAACAACCCAGCTTTTTTGATAACACCAAAATAATCCCTTGGCTGCAAATGTGGGCCTATTTGAAAACTAATCATTAAAAGCCAACACTGAATATTCTAAGCTATACCTCTGTCACAGAAATAGAAACCACTACATCCTGCGAATAAGCATTCAGATGCTGACGGCGTAGAAAAGACAAGCTCCAGTGATCCAGCTCACTGACCACTGGAGGAATACCAACCGCCCGCACTAAGTTGCGTCTGCCCATGGTCGTGGCTCTCTTCACTGCCCTCCGTTTCCTCCTGACCTCCTTCTTTGGTGGCCGGTGGTGCTCCTTTGGCCAAATGGGATTTTCCTTGGAGATGCTAACAAGGCCACGCAACACTATAGCGACAAACCGCTTCATCATAGCACTGCCGCTCTCGCAGGCATGAGACTTAATTGTTATGCCATCCCGAGCAGACCTCTGAAACCGACAGCGGTGCGTGCATTTGTAAAGTGCTGCAGAGGAGACTTGGGAGGAAGAAACACTTGCTGTATGTGTAATTCGGAGAGGGAGGGGAAGAGAGAGAGAGCAAGAGGGAAACAAACGGTAAAGGAGAGAAAGAGAGAGGGACCGGGATGTGGAGGAGGGTGCCGACTAGTCCTTCGATTGGAAAGAAGTCCTTGTGTTGTGCCAGTGGCTGCAACACCAACGACTCTGTGCTAATGAGAATACTTTGGCTGCAGCTCTGACTGGCAAGACGCTCAGGACACTATGATGAGACAGGAAGAACATCATCCTTACTCTCCATGTTGGCTGAACACAGGGCGTCACAATGATGACATTTTAAGTGATGATTACTTGTGATACAAATAATTGCAATTAAAGAAATATTGTCTTGTTTGTCAGTTTATACCAGACAATTATAATGTCACAAAGAAGGGGTTCGGAGACTAACTTTAACCTATACTACAAAATACTACCAAATGCAGCATACATTTACTATCTGCTTCAGTCCACAGAACTAATGTGTTCATCACGTGATGCTATGGAGCCTGAAAGCCGTTTACCATTGACTTCCGCTGGGAAGGAGAAGTCAGCAGCCATTTTTCTTTGTTAGGTGAATTACATTCCAAGTAAGAACACTTAAATATCTCTTATTAAATCATAAAAGTTGTAAAATACTGGATGCAGTTATTTTCCTTCCTGTTAGTGAGCTTGCTCTGCAGATCAGGGTCGTTTTAAACCAAACCCTGCTTTGAAAGCTGTATCTAGTTCCATCCATCCATTTCATAATAGATATGAACCTTATTTGCTTTGTATTTGTTGCCACATCGATACCATTAGCTTCAAATTCTTTTATATGGGAATCAACAGTTAAATGATCGCAGTCAGCTCAAATAATCCCCATCAGGCGATTATGTAATAACTGCGACAGGCCTAGCTGTACATGTATAGAAACATACAGCGTCCCTTCAGCCTGATGCTACTGTGGGCATCATCAGGAGCTTTTATCATTTACCTCCTGAGAGGGAGAGTGGATGCTTGGCTGGCTTCATCTCCAGCAGGATGAATCAAACAGTCATTTTCTTTCACAGATCCTGTCACTCATTTACTATTAAAGAGGAGGTATAGAGAGGCGAAGTCCCTCCCTTTCCGGGGGGGCTCCATGGGACCTTATTTCGGGAAAATTATGTATTGAAGTCAATGGAGAGAAAAAGATTATCTTTCGATCCCGTTTGAATTGTGCCACGAATTACACATATGATGTTTGTCAATTAAAAAGATAATTTTACAAGTAAAAAAATAAATAAATGTGTCGTAAACCTGTGAAGTAACACTTTTGTTGTGTGAAACCGCTCAATGAACTACATCTCCCGTCTCGCACCGCCACACCAAGAAGGCCGTCACGTTGGCACATTTCACTTCTTTCTTTCAGAATGAGGCGAAAAGTATTAAAAGAGGTGAAAATCACTCCAAGCCTGGGCATGTTGAGAGCTGTACATACACACAAGGGGAGTTAGTCGGTTCCGTAAGAAGAGCCAGCATGCGGGACCGGGATTCGTAGTCTTTCTAGTTGCGTATTTTTCATAGTCTTATATTTCAACAGTTTTACGACAAACTGTGACTTTTTTGACACGGAAATTATTTAAGATTGACAAACATCATAATTCGTGGCACAATTCAAACGGGATCGAAAGATAATCTCTCTCCCCATTGACTTCAATACATAATATTTCCGAAATAAGGTCCCATGGGTCGGAAGTAGAAGGGCGGGACTTCGCCTCTCTATACCTAAGATGAATAAAGAAAGATCAAGTGCAGAATATTGCTTCCTGAGAGCAAAACCCTTGAACTGAAAACGTCCACAAATGCAACGATTGAAGACATTGCAATGAAATAAAGATGGAGTCCACTTCTAAACGTATCTACTCATATTATGCCAGAGAAAAAAACCTTACAGTAACACAGTAAGATAAATGAAACTAAACACAAGCTGAATTGTGTGAAACAACTAGTAGCTTAATCATAGCTCAATCCAAGACAGCTATAGAGTGGGACATGAGGAGGTTGCCTTTGACATTTTTGACTAATATAAAAACTGCGGCAACATATTCCAAACACTCAAGATGTTAATGAACCATATAGAGGCAAGATGAGGTAATGATGTGGAATAAACTGAAAGCCTCATAGAAAACTATTCAGAAAATAAATGCTCTTCTTACTTCCATTGAAAATATAAACCTGGACAGGGCATGGGAACAAAGAAGATGTCATCTACTCTTTAAAAAAAAGGATGTGTCCCTGTCCCTGACTGAAAGCTGACTAATGTCCATGAGGGGAAGAGTCTAATTAATAATGCATATTGATTCAACCAATATAAAAGGAGATCTAGCCTTTTTAATAAATAAAAAAATGACTATTTTTAGAAATTTGACAAAAAGGATCTGACATTAATAGTCATATATTAAATGTATGGCGTTTTACTGTTTAATAGGGAGTGCCATCTGGCTGAGCTGATGTCCTTTTAGAACAAGGTCACGAATACCACCTAAAAATAGTATAAGCGACAACAAGATGCAATGTTTACGTTTTCCTGTAAGTCATGCTCTGCCCGGCTCGCTGTGTGAGATTAATGCCACTTGACAATCTACTCCGCTCCGAAGTTCCCCTCAACAACAGAGCATTAGTGGACGCAGCCACACAGACCTAGATCTGCCGACGTCTCATTGGCTGCCCGAGTCACGCGAGACCCGAGTGCGGGGCTGCCTCTCTGCTCCACTGGCTCTTTGACTCTGATAGCCCGGTGGTGCCACAGGGTACAAACGTCTACAGAGGCGACCATCGCAGTCCCTCCTGAGAACTCTACAGCGAGTAGCTTCTCTGTCGTCCTGTACTCCTGAAAACTCTCAAACGTCACCGCGATACTGTATTTTCACTGGCCAAGAATCGCCTCCATATACGACTAAACCTGCTGTAAACTTATCCTGCGTCTGAGTTCATGTTCACACTCCCTGAAGGCCAAAGAGGCTGCTATCACTTTACCCACAATACACCACAGCATTCTCAGCACGACAGATAACAAAAGAAGTCTCAACAAAGCATGACTCCTATAGTGTTGCCGTTCAGGTATTCTACTCTTTGTCACAGAGCGTCTTGTACGATAACACCAGGGAAAACAACAGATGGAAAATAGTTCTACTTCATTTATCATGCAAGAACGAAGCAACGTTATTCAACACAAATGCATTATTAGAGACAATAGAACAGGGTGTACAGTAAACCTGTCCCGATATACAGCAGTGTAAATCAATAATGCATATAATTGCAGGAAAATGTATTCTATTCAGTGTTGTTAAAAACACAAACAAAATGCCAAGCCCTGTTTAAATGTCCCCTGCCGAGGGGCCTTGTAACCATTAACATGAAAAATGTAAGTCCAGAAAGGAAATCAGCTGAAGTGATACTGTACAAAAGATTAGGCCATTAGTTTTTTTATTTCCAGGATAGATACAGATGAGTTGGGTGGCAGAGGGAAAGGAAAATGGACAGATATGAATCTTGCTTGAACTTGTGAGATGTACGACTGTACATTGATAGTCAGAGTGTAATACTACGCTATTCATCTTAAATCGGTTAACCATCAAATTGTTAATGAAGACCCCCAAATGCTATATAGCAATAACTACATGTGGAACTATTCCTATTACTGCATAACACCTCAATCTCCCCACAAGTAATATGTTATGCAAATGTGCCCCAATATACCCAATCATTAATGTCATGGCACTTTTATTTATTTTTTTATAAATAAATGTATATATTCTTTAAGGTTAAACCTGGACCATTGGAAAGACAAGAATGTGCCTACATTGTTTTCATTTCTAGATATGTTTGATTTATTTGAGTAAGCCCTGTTTTAAGGGATGCATTTTTATTTATGCATCTTTTTTGTTTGTTGTTTATCTTGCGCAACATCAGGCAGAGGTTTATTCATGAATTTAAAATGTAAATGTTCCTTGAAAATAATAATAAATGGTCTTGGCATATATCATGATATAATAAAGGAACAATAAGTTGCATTTAAATGCCAGGGGTGCAGGGTGTGAGGGGACTTACCGGCATCATATTGGCAGCTCTGATCAGAACCAGGGGTGCATCGGCAGGTGTAATGACGGCTCACCCTGTTATCTTCAATGGCACCTTAGCTAGTTTTAGTTACTCCAATGTGTCAACCAACTGGGCATCAGTCCTCTCTGTAAACCCCAAAACAAGCTGAATGAATATAGTGCTCTAAAACTGAGCAGTGAGGAAAAACAGCAGCGAATGCTATCAGCCACAGACGTGCAATTTAAATGGCCCAGGCGTGGCTCGTGCAGCTGCTGCTACAAACAAGCCTGGCTGTTAGCTCGCAACGCAACGCTGAGGCGATTTAAAAACAAATGACATCCACAAACTTAATAATACTGAAGCCCAACACATTAAATACACTCACCAATGTCAGAGAGAATGCATTGTTTCGGGGAGTAAATCTTAGCTACGTTACTGTTGAAGACACGTAGCTAGCCGAGCCAGCTGTCAGCCAGCTAACTCTCTCCGGAGGTGCTAGCAGTAGCTGCTCTCCGAGGCGGCTAAAGGACGGTGAGCCACAAGATATCACCGCTCTCGTCGGCCCTTCGACTCACATTTAATGCACATCGGCACCAGCTATCGATGGAGTATGTTGCAAGCACACGACAGAAGAATAAATGTCCCCCAGATTAGGTTAAGTTGGCTTTTTTCGAACGCAATGAATCATCGTTAGCAGGCTAGCAGTGAAAATACAAAAAATAGCTGGAGTCCAGTTGTTGACGGGGGGAGGGGCGGGGCTTCACCGCAGCAGCACAGCGTCAGGTCGACGTGAGACGTCAAGAATCTGACGTCACCAGCAAGGATACCAGCTGCAGGTGACAGTGTTACTGCTTTTACAAAAAAAGAGAGAAATAAATGTATTAATTATTTACATGATAAACCAATTTGTCATTTGTTATTTAAAAAGTTTTGGTGTGATGTTGAGGACAAACGATACAACTTCAGTATGATTATACACTTTAAAGGTGATGGATTTTATACAAATATTGTCTTATTTATACAACTAGGCCTGATTTTATTTTTGGGAACATTCACAAGAAGATATGGACTGACTCTAAACCAAATGTTGCACATTCATACCTAGATTTACAACACTATGGCAACACTATCAAACATATTTTTTTTAAAAGAAGGCAATCAAAACCAAATGTGTATTTGATTAATATTTCATTTGAAATGTTACCTTTAGTTTTTTCACCAGTTTCTTTCTTTTTTAATATTTAGTTTTTTTTAACTCTGTATAAGTACCTATGTACCCCTGAAGTCAATATTTTGTCTGCAAATAATGTTTGAATAAAGGGAAATAAAACACATTATTATTGCCTGATTATTTGAAAAAATAGAACTAATGTTGGATCACACTTTTAACTTGATGTTACCCATCTAACATCCAATTCCTTCTTGTTTTTTCTCATTTACATGTTGTGCTTTTAGGTGGCATATTCCTATTTTCTATCAACAATGGTTTATGGGATATTAAATAAATGACCTGACAATTCATTTGTTCTCATACTTGATTAGAGAAGGCTTTATAAGTATTGACAGCCAACAGCCGTAAAATCACCAGATAACATGCACACATTTTGATAGATAAAAGACTTCAAATGCATGTGGCCACATTTATTATCTTATAACAGGATGAAACCCTCTGGATCTGAGTTTCAAGGGGCTTTCAATAAGCTCAATCTTGCAGGGAAAATAGCAGGATGATGCATTTTTAAAGGGTGCCAACAAGTTGTGCTGTTTTTGTAGATTTAGAGAAACATAAAAAAAGTATTGGTCTAAGAACTGATATATATATATTTGTAATGATGTATGACAGCTTCTTCTAGACTCTGACATGTTTTGCTGTTGATGACGGATGTTATAGTTTTGGACACCTTCTTCCTCAGTTTAGCTCAAGATGACACAACGCTCCCTTTTCAATCTCACTACTGACATATGACAAAAATATTATAAAAGGATTGTTTGCAACCCTGAAGGGACAAGGTGTGTATATCTGTATGTTAAGGTTGAAATTGAATCACAGTATTATAGCAGCATAATAATGTCAGAGAGGATTATGTTTTATGATTTTTGCCTTCAAATCTTTACATACGTAATACAAAAAAGTTGAGATTCAGCTTTTAAAGCCTGTAGGTTTTATGGATCATAAAATCATGTCAAATGAGAGAGTTGAAAGTCACAGTAGTGACTCCAAGTGGCGCACAGAGAGAAGTGACACTGTAATGTAAACCAGAAATGCATTTTGACAAGAGCCATTACTCTTATCTTATATCATTTGAGAACCCTTTAAATATCTATGCACACCCTGCCAATTTAAAGTAAATATTGACATTTCTTCATAAAACCCTTTACCTACAGTATTCTCATGAGTTTTTTTTCTCCAAACAGTGTTCAGACAGAAACTGAGAAACACCTTAGAAATACCTTGAAAACATTGACCCATGTCGTTAATATTAGGTAATTATCAAGGATAATAAAACCATTAAGACTTTGTCAGAGAGGATTCCTTTATTTGGAGCTTCTCGAGATCTTTAATTACAATTCAAATCAGATCGGTTGTGACAGAAAATATGAAAAGGTATAAGCAGCTGTTTCAATTGATGAAGAAAGTGTACACACACAATCAAAAACAAATGTCCTCCATGGGGAGGAGGAGCAAACTTTGAATTTACAACAACCACAAGGGACAACCCGTACTCATTGTGCCTTTAAGTGCTATGACCTTTCAGGTTCACAGTTAATTCATTCCAATACAAAAGGTAACAAAACAAAATGCAGGTTATAGTCAGTAGTAATTGTAACATTAAGCCTCTCTGAGCTCTGATGATACGTGGTTTGCCCTTTACTCACGAGAGGTCAGCCATTCGGTGAAACATTTAATTAAACCAAACTATTATTATTATCATTATTTCATTCAATCACTCAGTTTACATTACATTGCATTTAGCTGACGCTTTTATCCAAAGCGACTTATAATAAGTGCATTCGACAAACTAGAAGAAAACAGAATCATATAGGCCTAAGTACATCAGGTTTCATAGAGCCAAAACATTTCAAGTGCTACTCAACTGGCTTTAGATAAGCCAGCCCTTTATTAGTATATAAGTGCTTAGTTAGTATATAAGTGCTTAGTGTTGTTAGTAATTCTATCGCTCGAAGTGGAGTCGAAAGAGATGTGTTTTTTCAGTCTTTCTGGGTCAGGAGGGGACGTATCCTCCTGATGTTGTAAAGAGTGTATCTGTAGCAGCGGGTTGTTGCCGCGATGTTTGCAGTGAAGCACAGGTTGTTATCTAGGGCAGGGGTCGGCAACAGGCGGACCGCGGTCCGGATCCGGACCCATACGCCGACCTATACGGACCCGGAGCTATAATCAATACATTAATACGGGATTTTTCGGCGCCTCCCGCTTTTTTAACGCTGATTTGGGTGACTTGTGTAATTCGTGGAGAACCGAAGAGTTTTCGTTTTGGGGGTGGGGGGAGGGAGTCCGTCCGTCAGTCCGACTGACCGACAACTTCTCACTTCAAAAAAGAAGAGAAAATCTAGACCGCAACAATAATTAAACAAGCGAGTACCTGTTTTTCCTGGCCAAGGACAGGTTCCTTGAATACAACATAAGCGTAACGTGTCTTCACGTGGTATGTCTCCTCTGAAAGGAGTGCTGAGCACCGGAACGCCGCTCCATCCCTTAACATATTGCAATACCCATAAGGAGCCGTACACATGCCGCAGTGTTTGCGTGGCTGTGTCTTTAGTTGTAAGCACAGTGGCGATCTGTTGTTATTAGCATCTGGTTAGCTAGCTATGCTAACGAATTTAAAGAGCTTTTCTACAACCAGGTGGAAGAGAGCTATCTCCTGAGAGGCTCAAATAACCTCAGCTCAGTGAGGTTAAGGCACACCTTGATATGATCATTATAGTTATTAATGAGACTAAATGAAAAACAGGTATAAAATACTATATGACAGTAACAAAAAAGTTGTTAAAAAAACAAAAAAAATAACAAGAATAGAGTTTAAAAGGGGAGTGATTTGTAAAATATCCAAAAAGAAAAATATGCTTACAGTTCTGTTTCATATGGGTGTTAAGAGATGTATCCATAGATCTCTTAATGTTGCTCTCAAAGTGCACCAGATTGATGCTTTTAACTTCAATATTTTAAACAAATCTTCCCGGGGGAGCATGCCCCCGGACCCCCCTAGAGGAGGTTAGGTCCCCCCCCCCCCACTTAAATTATGTTCACATGGATAGGATACTAAATACATTTGCACACATCTTGTGTCCATATCTTTCTGTTTTGGTGGTCATGCCACACCCTGCACGTGCATGCATACGTGAGTCATGGTGAGATATCTGGATTGGTTGCTTTTTCTTTGCACAGCATGAAAGAAAGGTGAAATGAATGGGCTGTGATTTTAGTTTTTTTAAGCAAAAGTTGAGTTCAATAATTTGTACGACCCTCGGAGGATGTTGTAAAAATTGAAAGGAAAAAGGTTCCCCACCCCTGCTGTAAATAATAATAAAAACCCTTGATTTTTAACTTAACATCTCTGTCTGCTATTGATCTGAGTATATTATAAAGAACAGTTAATTGAAGCATTATAGCACAGGCATTTGTCAGATGGTATTACGCTGTTTTTTTTCGGCTTCGAATAGTTCTCTCTTTTTTCACCATACCTGTGTTTGCATCACTGTAACCAATGAGCACCTGCATGTGTGTGAGAATGGCCCTGACTCCATGTCGGCCCAGATTTACAAACTCCTGGCAGGACAAGCTCCAGCTCAATTCTCGCACTGAATAAAACAAAGTGAGTGAGGGACTGCAATATAAGAAGGAAAGAAAGATAAACTTTAAAACTGTTCAATTGTTATGATGTAAAGACTGATATTGTTCTATAATCGGCTGAAACTGTTAAGTCATGATGTGAAACGGTTAACAAAGAAAAAGGGACACTCAAGCTGCTGCTACACTTCATTTTATTTATCTAAAATTAAGCACTTTTAAGATGCACATATTTTCAAAAGCTATTTTATTTATTTTCTCTATTTTATTTGTAAATGCAGCCCGAGAGGAACATTACACATAGCCACAGTATTTAAGTAATGTTAATTGACAATAAATGTTTTTGAATTGTACTTTCTTTATTTGATTGGCAGTCAGTTGTTGATTACATGCAGACGTTGATAAAGCTACAGGTCACTTCAATATATATCACACTAATTCATGAAGCAAGTTAGACATTTTGATGTTCCGGACCTTTGCATGGGGAGATTTTCTCTCCTCGTTGAATTTTAGTTGAAGACCCCTGATCTAGGGTTTCAAAAAAATGGTCATGAAGGATTTCATGACCGAAAGAACGAGATCGCGGATACAAGTGGCCGAGATGGGTTTTCTCCGCAGGGTGGCTGGTGTCTCCCTTAGGGATAAGGTGAGAAGTTCAGTCATCCGGGAGGGACTCGGAGTTGAATCGCTCCTCCTTCGCGTCGAAAGGAGCCAGTTGAGGTGGTTCGGGCACCTAGTTAGGATGCCACCTGGGCGCCTCCCTAGGGAGGTGTTCCAGGCACGTCCAGCTGGGAGGAGACCAAGGGGTAGACCTAGGACCAGGCGGAGGGATTATATATCTTCGCTGGCCTGGGAGCGCCTTGGGATCCCCCAGTCAGAGCTGGTTGATGTGGCCAGGGAAAGGAAAGTGTGGGGCTCTCTACTGGAACTGCTACCTCCGCGACCCGACCACGGATAAGCGGGAGAAGATGGATGGTCTTGATAGTTTATACAGTCCACTCCACTCTCCCTTTACTATGGGAGCTTTATCTTTAATACGATTCCGGAGACTTTCTTCCTGTAAAGTGAAACATATTCTTTTAGATAGGGCAAGGGCATAAAGGGTCCAGTTCAAAGAAAATAGTCAATATACTGTAAGTGTTTGAGTAACATTATCGTCTCATATTTAGCCATCGAGCTTCTCACCGTAACAAAATTGTCCGTCTTTGGAATAAACTTATACATCAAGTGTTCGTATATTTGGCTGCGAGGGGTGAGCACATGGAGGTGGAGATGATCGACGGAAGTACAGGGAGGTTGGTGGAAGCCGAGGCTGTGTAGGAAAATACATAAATGTAAAGGAAACATTTTAATAAAGTCATAAAAAACTTAAAATAACAAAAACCTTTTGACAGAGTGAGTATTTCCACCTCTTTTAACATTTTAAGATACAATCATACAGTCAGAATTGAGCTTAAAGGTGCATTTCAACAACAAAATATTCCTCTAGAGCTCACTGGTTTCTTATTTCTTATTTGTTTTAACCTTATGAAAAAGGGAAAAAACAACAAATTGCTGTTGGTGTAGATGCTGGATTATTTCGTTTGCACTTTATATACATATATTTAAAAAAAGGAGATAGAATGCTTGTTTGGAGCCAGGTTAGCGGTTTAACTCTTTGTGCTAAACTCATAGTCTTATGCCTGACATCCAGATATGTAGTATCAATCATGTCATTTAACTTTCCACAAGATATTCCTTTAAGCTTTGTGCTTATTGAAAGTCAAACACACACAACCGTTCTTCCTACCTTATATCCTCCATATTAGTGATCCCTTGGTCTTGTAGCACAGCTTTCCCCATTTCAGCCATCCTCTTAACTGTTGGATACAAGTTACAACACTTCAGTTATACCACTATTAGGGAGCTTACACATCCCCATAATAAGATGAACTCAAATAAATGATATGGTAAATCCAGATGTTTAAAAGTAAATGCGGAAGTTGCAGTATCAGTGGAAATACTTTCAGCTGCAGTCTCATAACACCTAGCCTACATAGTTCTAAAGGTATAGTAAGAGTCTTTGCAGCTTTATTTGTAGAAGCTAGTAGTGTGACTATAAGCAGTAAGGGACAGCAGGTCAGGAGAAATAGAGGTTCCGTGTTTTTGCAGAGCTTTTTATTAGCTTTTAGTGATCTTATGACTGACCGAGATCAACGTGTCCCCTGTGTAGCGAGAAGCAGCTGTGGATGTGCTGAATGGGTACAACCAGGTAGTGGTGAGGAGCAGCAGGGTAAATGTCTCTAAAACACACCAGCTCATTGTTCTGTCAGAGAGGAAAGAATAACAGATATAAAACACACACATTAACCTACAGCCAATGAATGCAGCATGGATAAAACTCAGATGTATTATTGTGGGCCCCCATTCTCTGGAACAACGTGTTTTTGCCGTGTTTGTGGCCATAATTTGACCCTTTATCTGTTAAGTCTATTCTTAAAATGCATTGTTATTTATTTAATTTTGTCTTACCTAACTTATTGTACTTTATTCTATTTTTTTTTTTTTACCATTTTGTAGTTTCTTTGCTCAAGTTATATCACTTTTAAATTGTTTGTATTATTATTTGTCTGACGTTTATTTCTTGTAAATCACTTTTTTACCTTGTCTTGAAAAGGGCTATATAAAATAAAGTGTATTATCATTATTCAGATGCCTAATAACCTTTGTAAAAATGTAGACGTTTCTTCTTAACTAGCAAAAGTAATAATGACATTATAATGTATTTTTAACCACTGCATAATTATCCATTCTCTGAAATGTGTGTAGGCCTACCTCAGACTTCAACAATTTCATGGCTATTAAAACGAGAGTAAATATCCAGCCCGAAAAAGGTCAACTGCTTCCGCTATGATGAAAGGCACAAAATGAGTCCAACATCTCCATTGTTGCCATTTCCTGATTTAAAGACTTCCTAAGGATAACCAAACGGTATTTAACCCCTTATATTGTTGATACAATGGTGTACATGCAATGTATAGCAGCTTTACCTGCCGTTACAACTTTAAGGATCTTACTTTTTTGATGACTTGTGTGTCTTTGTCTTGACCGTTGGCTATCAAGCAGAAAATACAAGTTTCATCGCTTTCTGAAGTTAATTTTGAGTTGTTTCTCAACATATTTCAGATGATCTTTCTCGTTTCCTTTTCAACGCGTTGCCGGTAAACACAACCTATGACAGAGAGGCGAAGTCGCGCCCATCTACTGGTCACCCAGGCTGTATGTGGGCCAAAGATCGTCTATGTTTACGAAGACATGTTACTCAATCTTTTTTCCATAAATCCTCACATCATACACGGTTTGAACCGTTTGAACACAATATTTTAAATATTTTACTGGCTTGTTTAAACCGAAATAAACAAATAGCGTGACATTATAGAGAAATACATTTAGGCTAATGAAATGTGTGGGGGAAACTTCTGAAGCAATTGGAGTCAGGACTCAAGAGACACGAAGGAGAGCTGGAGCTTAGATGTCAAACACTGATGGTTTATTTGAAGCTTCGGCCGGAGAATTCACAAGACATGTCACGGGCCACGAGTTGACCACACGGTTGAGATGCCACAAACAATCCATTCTGAAGAACCCTCCTGTAGCTCGAGGTTTTAACTAGTTCAGAGTGTAATAATCAACATTCGTCAATAGATAGACTGAACAGCTGAGGACACTGAATCACAGTCGTTGTCGCTTATGGCTCGGGGTCATCTACACCCCGAGAAGGATGTGTTCCAGGTGTCCCACAACAATAACGATCTCACTCTGACAGAGATCCCGGTCCGGTCATAAACTGGTAACATCAACAATATGCTAGGCATAGGGCAGCCCCTCCTTATGGGAGATAACGGCTTCTCAAGGTTGGTCAGCTGCGTCAGAGGACGAAGGAGGACATGCAGGGCAAATTATTCCCCAACTAAATGTAACATTAAATATGTGAAAGGGTCAGATCACAGACATTTCCTCTCAACTGCAAGTTCTTGGTATACAATAATAACTTGCATACCATTTCAAGTCATCATTAAAAACTCACCTGTTCATGGCCTTTGACCCCTAACCCATCACAGCCCCCCTGCTTCCACTCCCACTGCTAGTTATTTAATTTATACTTTATTATTTGCCCAGCAGTAACTATGCTACACTGGGCAAAGCGGGAGCAACATATGCTTTACTATTCTCTATTCAATTATAATATTAAATGTGTCGCAGGTCCAAATTGCACCACTTGGGTGGCCAGAAATACACCCAAAAAGTGTGAACAGTCCTCAACATTGTACATGTTCTGTTGTGCACATCTCAAAGTGTACAATTCTTTGTGCACGCTATTTTCAGAACATGTTGATCCTAATGCAAAGCGGTGGGGAGCAAATTAGCCATTTCCAGGTTGGTCCCCAGCGTCCCCAGTATAAATGACACCTGTGAGCCAAATATATATTTTTATTGAAAATCGAAACAATTTTAAGGTTCAACAAACTTAAACCTCTACTATTATCTTAACTTCATAATTGATTTCTCCTTTTTCCTTTCAATTGAATTCATTTAGGGCAGAGAGTAATTCAGTTTCATGTTCAGAGTGTGTCATCTTCTTAATGTGAGATCTTTGCAGTGAATGACTTCCCGGAAAGATCCCACCACTGGCTTCTTCCTTATACAGCTATGGCACAGTGTCTAAGAGTAAAACTAAGACTGAATACATTCCTCTTTCAACAGTCCTACAATGATTACCGACAAGAAACCATAAGATGGGATATATAAAAAGTAGACATAAACAACACAACCCTTAATAATATGTGTATATATAACATTTATTTAGGTTTAAATGTGTTTGCTATAACAACATAATAAATAGATTCATAGTAATATTACAGCAGTTTTGGGTTCACGATAAATAATACTCAGGGATCATTCACAGTTAAAACACAAAGCTCATTTTCACATAAAGCAATAACTGGCATTAGTGGAAAAGTATGGCAGGTATCATTGAGTGGTGTCAAACATTTGCAGTATTGCATAATGCATGCACTACAAGCCTGTGTCGGACACAAAGGATATAAATGAACATTTATTTTCTGTGTTAGTAGATCGGAATTTTTTGTTAGTGGCTTACCAGAGTGCAAAAACAGACTGTCCCTTTTTCCATTTTTAAGTAAAGCAAATGCTGACCTGTAGTGGTGATCAAATAGCATTAAGTAACAATTTTACATTGAAGAAATGTTTAATTATACGAGGCCTCAACAGAGCAATGACTGTCGATAAATCCTGTAGTGCAAAGTGACATCATGTTTAACTTCTACTGGCTCTAAACAATGACCGCAAAATTAATAAAAACTGATAGAAATCCGTCGACGTGAGATATGAATTCAATACTGACAAAACAGGCATTTGTAGTGCTTGTTAGGTCCAATCACAAACAGAAACATTTAATACTTTCTATAAAAGCACATCCATTAAAAAAAAAATTGGGCACTCTTTGTAAACACAGAATGTAATAAGAATAAAAAAAAAAAAAATCTAAAATATTTTATAAAATAAACTCACAACAAATGCGAAATTAAAATAGAACATATTTGGTCTTTGAAACCTGGATTTCTTTTGGGGAAATTAAAACTTAAGTAGTTGTGAGATAATGCAATGAAACACTCATTAAGTTCACCTAAAACTCAGCCGTCAGAGGAAGTGCAACGCTTCCATTGTAAACATTTCCTTCATTTAAATGAATTTAATAGTAGAGGATCCAAAATAATCTTTCTGGCAATTTCCATTTCCTTTTACTTTTAAAATCCATAACATCGTAAAAAAAATGTCTTCAGCACTTTATCCTGTACATTCCCAAAGAAACTAATTACATCATTATTCCTGCACAAAATAACGTTCATCATAATGGGAAACCTTGTTCTTCCTCACACTAGAAATATTTTAGGGATTACCTCAATAGTAACATCAGCATCCTTCCTCTTCTCTCTTTCCTCTCTTATGGTGGTCAGGCAGTTTGCATGCTGGGAAAGCTTGAGGCGTTGACGGATGTCTAAGGCAGCCAATGAACGGAGAGCAACGACACACTTCCACCTTAGAAGGAAGGAGGAGCCAAACACAAACTGGCCGACCTGCCTGCCGAAGGTCGAAGCAGGCTACAGATGGCCGTTCTCCGCCAGTCTTCTCTCACAGAACGTTCAGTGTCGTTGTGGGGGAGCTAGCTTTGCCTCCAAGTGGCGTGTAATAGACTTGGGTGGCGGGAGGGGGGGTGGCGGGGGTGTTGGCGCAGAGGTTGAATGTAGGAGTACCTATGATCAGGTGAGACTACTCGAAGGTCCAGACCTCCACACTGTGGATGTTGAAGTCCCGCTGTGCGGAGAGGGGCTGGTTGTTGAAGGTGGCGCATTTGTTGGTGGTGCCTCGGTACAGCTCAGCGTCCAGCCACAGACCCATCTGACCACTGCAGAGGGGAGAGAGGAAATTAACTGATGGTAAACCCAAAAAAAACAGAGTGAAATAGCTAGTGATTTGCTTCTTACCCTCCTCCTCCCATCTGCAGAGAATCAATATTTCCCTTCACAAAGTAAGAATTCTCGCCCGTCCAGCGGTATACCTGAAAATGAGAGCAAACTATTTATGTTAACGTTATTAAAATAATGAGACCTCATACCTAAATTGAGATTATAAACAATGGTAAGGCAAACCTTGATTTCAGGACAGAAGCTGAAGAGGAACGTCTCTCCTGTGCCGTAGCAATGTTCGCTCATTTTGAACGGATGACTTGAGAAAGCCCCAAATATCTGTGATAAAGAGGCAGATTCAGTTGATTTTTTTAGGGGGGATTACGTTGTGAAATATGATGACTGACATGAGTGGGACAAAAATACTCTGTATTGAAGCCTTATTATGTAAAAATCTTAAAATATCACTACCTCTACATTTCTTTTGCCACCTGTGTATCAACCACTTATGATACAAGGCCATTTTCTTTGACTGTTACCTCCTGTATTCTCAGCCAGTGTGGCCGTATTCACGCACATACAGCAGGGCTGCTCAATTAATCGTATTTTAATCGCGATTACGATTATGGCTTGCAACGATTACGAAAACAAAAGTAATCAAAATAAAACGATTTTTTAATTATTATTATTACTTTTTTAATTTTTGGTTTTTCAGTTGAATTATACTTAAAGTTCAGGGTAATCAACTGTTAAAAACATACTGTTCAACATTTTTTTCTCCAATAAATGGATGTTTTCAAATCAATTAATAATCACATTTAATAATCGCAATTACAATTATTGACCCAAATAATCGAGATTATGATTTTTGCCCTAATCGAGCAGCCCTAACATACAGTACGACCCTTTGCACAGTTATCTACCTGGTTGTCCATATCTTTGATGACGAGCAGAACCGGACTCTCCACGTCTGCCAGGCTCCGGTACATAGTCTTCAGGCTGGTCCCGTGCTTCACCGTGCTGTAGGCCAGTCTCCAGGGGTAGATCTGCACACGGGGCGGCAAGCGGCATGCAAGCTGGAGGGCAAACACATCATCAGATTAAGAAGCGTACGGATTAGTATCTTGCATATTTCGTCATTTCAGAATCTGGATTTATTTGATGTGGTTAAAAGTATTATATACCTTCTCCATGTGTGTGTCCTGGAGCAGGTCACTGGCCTCACTGAGTATGGGAAGTGTATCCACTGATAGTTCCGCATCACAGCTGCTGAAACTCTGCCTGCGCTTAGCCTCGTCAATGGTGATGATCTGGGATGGAAACAAGCATGTAAAAAGGAATTCAACGACAAAGTTGCATCAGGAAAATGTACAGCGTTACAGCAAAAGTGACACAGGAGATAAAAGGCAAGCAATATGCTGGCGGATTTGGCACCCCCCCTATAACTTTTTCCAGGATATTCATACCGTCACCAACATCAAACTGGTGTTTGCTGTTCATCTATAGTTCGTGCACACAAAAGCATTTTACTCTGGGCTCATCAGGTGAAAAACTGGAGAAACTCTCCCTCTCCTGACAGTAAAGAATAAACATATAAGTAGTTTAGCTAGTTCCAGAAGTAGATAATATTGCTAAGTGTGTGTTTGGTGGAGGTGATCTGGGAGAGCTGCTGTTCTCCGTCAGCAGAATCTGATCCTGATCTCTGATCTCTCTCGAGCCCGATTATACTTCACTCGCCTT